ATTTTAATGAATGAAGACTTTAGTCTTTATTAATAAAGATTTTAGGGGAAAAATTCATACAGCAGACCCTCTGTAAGAAACTTGCATCTGAAACATTTAATGGAAGGTTTGCTGAAATATGCAAATCCAGGTTTTAGGTTAAAATGGAGCAATGTAAGATGCATTATTCCTTGAGCTCTCTGGTACTTAAAGTGAACCTGCCTGGCAATTTAGCTCAACTCATTTGTTTTTATTTTTCTAAATCTTATTTTCCTTTTTGCGATGCTTACTGGAAGTGTTAATAACAAGTGCTACATCTATGGCTCAGCCTGCTGTGATAAAAATACCATGCCTAACTCCCATTCCTTGTCTTCTAAAAGAGTTTTCCATTACTTATGGATTACTGCAATAGTACTCTTTAAATGCTGCATCAGTGAAGATAACGTAGGCTTTTGTGGTATTTAGTGTTTTATTGTTTTCCTAAAAAGGTGACCATCTGATCCTTGACAAACCTGACAGAAACAAGCAATGGGGAAAAGATTCCCTGTTTCATAAATGGTGTTGGGAAAACTGGCTAGCCATGTGCAGAAAGCTGAAACTGGACCCCTTCCTTACACCTTACACTAAAATTAACTCCAGATGAATTGAAGTTTTTTTTCTTTTTTTCCATTATCAAATCAGTGGTATTGTAGGATTGAAGATTTAAACATAAGACCTAACACCATAGAAACCCTAGAAGGAAACCTAAGCAATACCATTCGGGTTGTAGGCATAGGCAAGGATTTCATGACTAAAACACCAAAAGCAATGGCAACAAAAGCCAAAATAGACAAATGGGATCTAATTAAACTTAAGAGTTTCTGCACAGCAAAAGAAAGAATCATTAGCATAAATGGGAAATTAACATAATGGGAAAATTTTTTTGCAATCTACTCATCTGACAAAGGACTAATATCCAGAATCTACAAAGAACGAAAACAGATTTACAAGAAAAAAACAAACTCATTCAAAAGTGGGTGAAGGACATGAACAGACACTTTTCAAAAGAAGACATTTATTAGTCCAGCAAACATGAAAAAAATGCTCAACATCACTGGTCATTAGGGAAATGCAAATCAAAACCACATTGAGATACCATCTCATGCCAGTTAGAATGGCGATCATTAAAAAAGCAGGCTATAACAGATGCTGGAGAGGATGTGGAGGAATAGGAACACTTTTACACTGTTGGTGGGAGTGTAAATTAGTTCAACCATTGTGGAAGACAGTGTGGTGATTCCTCAAGAACCTAAAAATAGAAATTCCATTTGACCCAGCAATCCCATTACTGGGTATATATCCAAATGATTATAAATTGTTCTATTATAAAGACAAATGCACACGTATGTTCATTGCAGCACTGTTTACAATAGCAAAGACATGGAACCAACTCAAATGCCCATCAATGATAGACTGGATTAAGAAAATGTGGCACATATACACCATGGAATACTATGCAGCCATAAAAAGGATGAGTTCATGTCCTTTGTAGGGATATGAATGAATCTGGGAACCATCATTCTTAGCAAATTGACACAAGAACAGAAAACCAAACACCACATGTTTTCACTCATAGGCGGGTGTTGAAAAATGAGAAAACATAGGCACAGGGAGAGGAACATCACACACTGGGGTCTGTTGGGGGTAGGGAGCTAGGGGATGGACAGTAGGAGGTGGACAGGTTGGGGAGGAATAGCATTGGGAGAAATGCCTGATGTAGGTAACTGGGTGATGGAGGCAGCAAACCACCATGGCATGTGTGTACCTATGCAACAATCCTGCAAGATCTGTACATGTACCCCAGAACTTAAAGTACAATAAAAATTTTTTAAAAGGAAGAGAAAGAAAGTGAATTCAGTTCAATCATTAATCTTTTGTAAAGGAGAAGGAATTGTGAACTCTTCTCTCAACAATTAGTGCATTCATAGAGCGATTTCAGGCTCTGGGATTCCACACTCCTCAAATGCGCTAGAAATGACACTTTCACAGAGGTTTGCTAAGCCAATTGGCTGGTGTAAACCCATCCACAAAATTGGAAACCAAGATCCCAAAAATTCTCCTTTCACTTGAAGTTATGGACAAATTTGAGAGCATAAAGCTTGAATTATACATTTGGCTGCTGAAATATACCAGTTTATTGATAAGGCCTAACATAATGTGGATCTTTGATAATTAGAAAAATGTCATAAAATTAAGTGGAAAAATATTTTTTATATAGCTTTGACATCCCCCCTATAAATGTGTGTACTTTTATCAATTCATCTGTATAGTCAATTGTAGGATTGTTACTCATTCTACTTGCTAATGGCCACAGAATCCTAAAGGACAATCTACACATACCTCCGAATTTCTGAATATGCAAATTATAAGTAATTTTACTGCTCTAGACAGTGAAACAAATCAGTATATTGTCTACTACCACAATTATTCCTACATCATAGGTAATATGCTTCTCAGATGGACAAATACAAAATACTGATTTCCCCAAGGTAAATATGGACGATTTCATTTTGGGTGATTTGAACTGGAGAAAGATTATGACTCAGCCCTGAATTTTACTATGTACCATTTTCACTTGGATATTCACTATCATCTGAAATTCCACTTATCCACGTCTGAACTGGGTGTTTTTCTTCTGAGTGAGGCTGCTTTCCTAATTTTCCTGTTTTTATGAATTTTACCACTATTTTCTGAGTTGATCTGAAGCAAACTTTGAGTTCTCTGAGATTTCTATGTCTTCTTTATCTCTTAAACCTCTTTGTTACCATACCTTGCCAATTTTTCCTTTCTAGTAGATATAGGGTTAGGAATCTTCACACTGCTCTCTCATCATTCCAAGCCTCATTCAGTTATTCAGTTAGCTTACAAATAGATACTACACATCTACCATGTGCCAGGCACTGGAATAGTAGACACTAAAGATACAATGGTGGGCAACAAAAGATGAGGACTCTCAATATGGTCTAGCAAGGAAGAGAGACATTAAAAATCACCTGCAAACAAATGTAAAGCTCCAGCTATGACGCATTACATGAAGAATCTATTTCTAGGTCCTTGAGGTATGAGGTGTCATAAGAGCCTAAGATAGATTGATGTGAGTTAGTCATGGAAGTCAGGGAAGGTAGGCTTCCCTGAATAGGTGATGCATGAGCTGAAAACTGAAGGATTATCAGAAGTTATTCAGATGAGGAAGGATGGGAAGAACATTCTAAGTAGAGGTTATAGCACATGCAATGGTCTTGTGGTGGGGAATGGTCTTGTGATGGGAAAAAGAATGCCAAGTATTAGAGAACTAAAAAGAGGAAAACTAAAAGAAAACAGAGGGGACTTAGCACAAATTGAGACTGGAGAGACAGAGAGATACAGAGGGAGGAAATCATGCATAGCTTTATATGATTTATTGCAAATAAATTTTCTTTTTAGCCTATGAGCAATAGAAACCACCAAAGAGAACTCTGTGTGTGTGTGTGTGTGCGCGCGCGTGTGTGTGTTGGTGGGGGGAAGAGGAGGGATCAGATTGGCATTTAAAAAGATCATTTCTGCTGTATTATGGAACAGATTAGATGGGGCCCAAGAGTAGTGGCAAACAGTTCAGTTGAGAGGTTATCACAGTATTCCAAGTAAAAGATCATGGTTACTGGTCAGAGTGGTAAGTGATGGAGATAGAGATAAACTGGGGGAGCCAAGAGATATTTAGGAGCTAAGAGCAGTAGGACAAGATTATGGTTTGGCTATGGCAGGTGAGAGAGAGAATGAAGGAGACAGAGGGAGAGAGAGAGAGTTGGGGTTTGCATAATTTAATGTATGATAGTGTAGGACCATTCACTGAAGGAATATCAGAAGAGGACCCAGTTTGGAGAGAAATAAGTAAGTTCAAGTTGGACATGTTGAGTTTGAGGTGCTAATGAGATATCCAAGAGATGATAGCAAGTAAACAATTGGTTATAAAAAATGTGGAGCTCAAAATAGAGATAGGGTCATGAGATATAACTTTGAGATTTATCTGTGTCAAGAGATACAACTTTGAGATTTATCTGTGTATAGGTTGAAATCCTAGGTTTAGAGAAACTGTACAGTGAAAAGAGAAGAGGTCCTGGGATAAAGCCTTGGTCAGGTAAAATAGGATGAGTCTAAAAATGAGTGGATAGAGCAGTAGGAGAGACTGCAGGACTGTGTTGTGTAATGGAAAGCAACGAAAAGAGTATTTTCAACTCACTACTACTAAATAAATGTTAATTTGGGGGTTCCTGATTAAAAAATTTTCAACCTAGTGTTTAAATGAGTGATAGAAATTTGGCCAAGTCCAAGTCAACTGTTTTTTGAGCACTTACTCTATATGAGAAGCTATGCTAAGTGTTTTACACACGTTAATTCACTTATATCTCCTAACAATTTTATAGGATAGGTGTTATTATAATCGTCATGTTATAGAGGAAGAAATTGAAGCACAGAAGGTTAAGCAACTAGTCCATGGTTATATAATGAGTGTGAAAGTGATGCAACCAGGATTTAAAACTAATCTATTTGAATCTAAGGTATATTTTTCTTGTTTGGAATATTTTAAACTACACAGTTCCATTTCTTTGATAGATACAGGATTATTCAAGTTATCTGTTTCTTCTTAACTGAGTTCTTATAGCTGTGTCTTTCAAGGAGTTGGATCCTTTCCCAAAGCTAATGTTCTTAATCAATGCACTACTGTAGCATGCATCCTTTTTTTTAGGAATGTTTATATATTTTATGAAGATACTGTGAAATGGATGTCCTCTTACCAGTTACTTAATCAGGGTGCTATGAGAGCCACATAGAGACTGTAGAAAGTAAAAAATTATCTTATGGAAAACCAAGTTATCACGTCATTTGATTATATCTGTGATACTGTCTCACAAAATGAAAAGAAATTATAGAGCCCTTTCTTAAAGAATTGTCTCTGATTTCAAAAGCCGAATCCGAAATAACACATTCTTTCTGATTTTTTTTAGTTGTTCCTGAAAATACGACAATTCAAGAAAGAAGTACAACTCTTTCACAACAAATAGATATGACCACTCCACCTCAAATTACTGGACTAAAACCACAAAATACTGCACATTCCTCCACAGTGTTGTCTCAAAGCACACCTATGTTTGCAACTGATTATACAACCATATCATATTCCAATACAACATCTCCACCTCTGGAAACAATGACTGCACAAAAAATTTTAAAGACACTGGTAGCTGAGACAGCTACATTTGCAGTAGATGTTTTATCAACTTCAGCAGCCATCTCTACGCCTAACCAGAGTATATCCATAGATACTACTACCAATTCCATGAAAAATACAAAATCCCCATCTTCCGCAAACACAAAGACAACAAAAATGTCTGAAGCCATGGCTACTGAAATCTTTCAACCGCCTACACCTTCTAATTTCCTATCCACATCCAGATTTACCAAGAATTTGATTGTATCTACAACTTCAGCAATTAAATCTCAGTGGGCTGTTAGGAAGACAACATCTTTATTTCCAACTATTGAGTCAACATCTATGTCTACAACATCTTGTCTCGAACAAAAATCCACAAATATTGGGGCACTCTCTATCTCCACAGCTGGCCAGGAGTTTGCTGAATCTAGAGCAGCCGAAACTGTACCTTTGTTGACGGTGGAAAAGACTTCGCCTGCAGCTACTCAGATTGGGACTCTATCAGCATTCCCACCTGAGTCTGTGCTCATCTCCACAGCTTCTCTGGTAGATTCTGTATCTCCTAAAAACCAGACATCATCTCCATTGGCAACAACTGACAGGAAAATAGCATTTACAGCCCATTCATTAACTCTCTCAACTAGACTTATTGAAACCACACCTGCCCCAAGAACAGCTGAAACAGAATTGACATCTACAAATTTTCAGGATGTCTCTTTACCCAGAGTGGCAGATGGCATGTCTACATCCATGTCTAAAGAGACCTCCTCTAAGACTCTTTCTTTCTTAACATCCTCTTCATTTACTGGGACTGAGACTGTACAGACTGTTATTGATGCCGAAGATACACATACAGCCTTAACTCCTGAAATGACACTTGTACCTACAGTGGCTGATACTATGCTTTCCACAGGACCAGTTTATACCCAGAATACACCTACAGCTGATGAACACATGCTTACTTTGATTTCCACTAGATCAGCCTCCGCATCCAAGGCACCCGGGTCAGTTCCCACATCAACAACTGATGAAGATGCCCATCAGTTCTTCACCAATGAGACAATTTGGACTTCCAGGCCAGACCAGACCCTGCTGACATCTGAGAACACAACCACCATACTCACATTTGTGCCTAATGAAAATTTCACACCAGCATTTCATGAGAGTACTACTCATGAAGAACATGTATCCACAACTACTAATATTATCACCCCACTGAAAGCATCTCCAGAGAACGAGGGTACCACTACCACTGATGCTACCACAGCCACGTATGCAACAGCTCTATCCAAATTGACATTCATGACCAGTCTGCCTGAGTTTAAATTTACCACCTTACTACTAAAAACAATCCCTATGCCTACAAAACCTGCAAATGAACTTCCTTCAATATCAAGGGAGACTGTTGTTCCATCTGTAGATATAATATCTACTCTTCCTTACATTCAACTAAATTTTTCTACTGAGGAAAGCGCTTCTGAGACCACACAAACAGAAATAAGTGATGCAATTGTATTTGGAGATACAACAACTCCTGTACCAAGGTCAGCAACAACGCAAAGCTTTAAAGCCACTGTGACAAGAAAAGAAGCAACTTCCCATTATCTTATGGGAAAATCAACTATAGCAGCAGTAACTGGGGTTTCTCCATTTTCAACAATGCTGGAAGTGACAGATGAATCAGCACAAATGGTGACAGCTTCTGTCACTGTTTCCTCTTCTCCTGATATAGAAAAGCTGACTACCCCATTGGATAATAAAACTGCACCAACTGAGGTGAGAGAAAGTTGGCTTTCGACAAAATTGGTGAAAACCACACCTGGGAGTTCATACAATGAAACAACAGAAATGTTTAATTCCAACCACACCTATGCAGCACACTGGACCTCAGCTGGATCCTTCACTTCTGGAAGCACACATATATTCAGTGAATTCCTGGGTGCTTCTACCACAGGGATATCAGAAACCAGTTTCCCTACTACCCCTACAGACAGGACAGTTACATCTTTGTCTGGTGATATCTTACCTCCACAGCCTACAGCTGCTCATTCCTCAGAAACCCATATGCCTGTTACTCATAGGTTCTCACTGCCAGTTAATGGCAGTTCTGTGGTGTCTCAGGAAACTGAGGTTACCATGTCTGAGCCTTCTACACTGGCCAGAGCTTTTTCTACATCTATGCTCTCAGATGTCTCAAATCTATCGTCAGCTACAATGACCACAGCATTGGTACCACCATTGGATCAGACTGCTTTCACAATCAGTGATATTGTGCCTTCCCACAGAGACTCGATTTATACCACTTCAAAGGCCACAGTAATCTCTGTCAAGAAGACATCCATGGCAGTTCCTTCTCTAACAGAAACTCCATTTTCTTCACTGAGTCTCTCCACTCATGTGATGGCTAAGGCTGAGACCACCCTTTCCTCCACCTCAGTTGATACAGTAACCCCGTCTACACACACTCTTCTCTGCTCAAAACCTCCCCCTGACAACATTGCTACTGCGTCCTCCACTCCTGTGATCTCAACTATGTCTACACTAGAAGTAACTCAACCCATATCTCAAGTAGAAGAGACTTCTACCTATGCTCTCAGCTTCCCGTATACTTTCAGTGGTGGTGGAGATGTTGCCAGGTTAACTACTGGCACCACAGAGACCTCTGTTGTTAATGAGAATACGCCCTCACACACCTATGCCAATAAGCTTACTACTTCAGTAGACAGTCACATTTTTCAGTCTGCCACATATCATGTACACACACCAATGTCCACCCAATTGGTGACTAGCACCTCTATCTTATCTTCTGACAAAGACCAGATGACCATCTCCCTGGGAAAAAACCCTAGAACTGTGGAGATGGCAGAAATGTCCTCTTCAAATAATTCTTTTATTTCATACTCCCAGGATACTCCATCTTTGGATACAGGATTTTCTGAGACCACAAAAATTTCCAGTCACCAAACACATTTGCCTTCAGAGATTCCACTTGGGACTTCCTCTGATGGAAATTCGGCTTTATCTCCCACTTCTGTAAGCACACAGATTATACCTAGCTTGACCTCAAGTAACACAGTAGATGTTCACATTCCAGAAATGTCTACCAGTCTTGGGAAAACAGCTCTCCCCTCACAAGCTCTGACAACCACCACTCTTTTGTCTCCTGAAAAAGAAAGCACGAGTGCCCTTTCAGCATATACTCTCAGGACGGTGGAAATGATGGCAAACTCCACCTATATGACTCACTCTATCTCATACAGCCAGGAAACTTCATTTGTAGATACCACAACTTTCAGCTCAGCCAGAATATCAGATGCTATGGATATCAATACAACTTTTTCACACTTGCCTTCACTTAGTACACAACCTGAGGTGACTTCAGTTGCCTCTTTCATTTCTGAAAGCACACAGACTTTCCCTGAGTCCTTGTCTCTTTCCATAACTGGATTATATAATGACAGTTTTACAGTTCTTTCCGACAGGATCACTACAGCCTTTTCTGTTCCAAATGTACGTACAACACTTCATAAAGAAGCCTCTATGGCAACATCCACTCCTATTTACCAGATGTTTTCATTGCCAGTTAATGTAACTGCCTTCACCTCCACAAAAGTTTCTGACACTCCGGCAATATCAATAACTAAATCTTCTAAAACAATGCATCCAGGTTGTTTGAAAAGTCCCTGCACAGTCACTTCTGGGCCCATGTCTGAGATGTCCTCAATGCCAGTTAATAACTCTGCTTTCACTCCTGCAACAGTCTCTTCTGACACTTCCACAACAGTTGAGTCATCCTCTACTTTATTGTCTTCAGTTACCCCCATGATTACTATGACCATGCAAACACTGGATATCACACCTGTGACATATGCTGGGCCTTCTTCACAAAACAAAAGGGCTTCTTCTGCTTTCACTACAGAAATGATAGCGGTACCTTCCAGGATCACACCTACAACCTTTTTCTCTCCAACAGAGTCAACGTTGCCCTCTGTGAAAACCGTTCCAACCACTATTATGGCTGGGATAGTGACTCCATTTGTAGGCACCACTGCCTTCTCTCTACTCAGATCTAAGAACACTGGATCTATTTCCTCCATTCCAAAAACCACATTTTCACCATTTCTATCAGCAATTCAACAGTCATCACAAGCAGATGAGGCTACAACTTTCGAGATATTATCTGGGATTACTGACAGCTCCCTGTCTATGGTGAACAGTGGGACAGGGGTAGCTCTCACCAACACTTATTCCAGAACCACTGTTCCTGAAAATATGCTTTCACCTACTCATGCAGATAGTGTCCATACTTCCTCCAATATTCAGGTTTCCCCATCTCTGACTAGCTTTAAGAGTACTTTTGGACCCACAAAAAGTGTTAAAATGACCACCACTTACCTTTCTTCTAATACAGGAAAGATGACTTCTTCGTCAGAAAAGACTTCCTTAACAAACCATGCCACATCTTTGAATACCCTTGTTTCATACCCTCCATGGACCCCACCCAGCACAACACCACCCTCTTTGACACCATTTCTTCATTTACCTCATGGTACCGAAGCTGAGCTTTCTACCCCAAATACCTCTCCTCCTCCCACATCCCCAGTGGTTGAATTTCCAGTTCTGGGAACAAGAATCACATCTAGTAATACCCAGTCTCCGCTTATGACTTCCTGGAACATGTCCATAGCCGAAGGTTCTCAGTTTCCAATTTCCACCACTATTCATGTACCTACATCCAATCAGATGGAAACAGAGACTCTACACCTTGTTCCTGGGACTCTGTCAACATTCACTGCCTCTCAGACTGGTCTAGTATCTAAAGATGTCATGGCAATGTCATCTATTCCTACGTCAGGAATTCTTCCTACCTATGGGCTTTCTGAGAACCCTTCACTATCAACATCTTTAAGAGCTATCCCTAGCACTTTGGCTGACGTTAAGCACACATTTGAGAAAATGACCACATCTGTAACTCCTGGGACCACACTCTCATCGAATCTTTCTGGTGCCACTTCAGGATCTGTAATTTCAAAGGCTACTACTTTACCCATTCTGACATGGCTCTTATCTAGTCTCCCTTCTGGCTCCCCTTCAGCAACTGTGTCTAATGCCCCTCATGTTATGACTTCCTCTACAGTAGAGGTGTCAAAATCAACATTTCTGACATCTGACATGATATCAGTGCATTCATTCACTAAATTGACAACACTACCCCCTGCTACTATAAGCACCATACTCACCCAAAGCACTCCTACATCTACACTGGGTGGTATCACTACTGGCTTCCCAACTTCTTTTCCTATGTCTATAAAAGTCACAGATAACATTGTGTACATTTCCACACACCCTGAAGCATTCTCCAGAACCACAGTAACTGCCAACCCCAGGACGGTGCCTCATCCTTCATCCTTCAGTGGAAAGAGCATGTCACCTTCTACAACTGACCACACTGTATCCACTGGTTCCATGCCTCTGCCTAGCTCTACAACAACATCTTCATGGAGCAGAGTTCCAGCTGCATCATCACTCTCTACTTTAATTATTCTTAAGCCCACACTGGACTCCCTCCTAAATATAATGACTACTAAATCCACTGTTCCTGGAGCCTCATTTCCACTCTTATCCACTGGGGTGATACATCCTTCTACAGCAACTGTGTCTTCACCAATATTGTCCTTCTTTGAGACCACGAGGTTGGATGCCACACCTTCCTTTCTATCTACAGAAGCATCGACTTCGCCTATTGCCACCAAGTCCACAGGTACTGCTCCATAATGCATGTGGTGTAGCCCCAACAGAATTTATGCTCTATGGGTCATGTGTTCTCCAAAGTGGCCAGTTCTTGGAAGACAGAAAAGAATGAAAAAAGGTGCAGATGTTTCTTATCTCCTTCAGACAGTGGGTACAGTGAATGCCTTGTCCAAATACAAAATTCTCTAGCCATGTTTCTTGTCTTTGCTTTACTGAAATATAATGCAAATGCATCTTTTCACTCAGCATGGCAATTTTGAAGCCTCCTTTCCGCCTGTTTTGTTCTTGACATTCTGACTCTGATTCTGCCAATGTGCACATGGACTAGGAACTTTATCCATTCCCAGTAAGAGGATCATATGGCCTTAGGTCTGACCATGCTGACCACTCACCAGAAAACACCAGAAAAAAAAAACACCAGAAGATACCCTATCTTGCCTTTTGGATTCCTTTTATGCAGGTCTCAGACTTCTCCAAACCCTACCTGCAGCTGGCTAACAGAGCTTGTCCAAGGCCAGGGAATATTTGGCTTTCATGTTGTTCACATTTTGAATGTTCCTGCAACATTTTTTTTTTTTTGAGACAGAGTCTCGCTCTGCCACCCAGGCTAGAGTGCAGTGGTGCGATCTCGGCTCACTGCAACCTCTGCCTCCTGGGTTCAACTAATTCTCTGCTTCAGTCTCCCAAATAGCTGGGACTATAGGTGCCTGCTACCACGCCCAGCTAATTTTTGGATTTTTAATAGAGATGGGGTTTCACCATCTTGGCCAGGCTGGTCTTGAACTCCTGACCTCATGATTCACACACCTTGGCCTCCCAAAGTGCTGGGATTACAGGCACGAGCCACTGCACCTGGCCTCCTGCAACTTTAACATTTTACAATAGAAATTTGAAAGGATACACAAGAGCAAGAGGGAAATAAGAAGAGAAAAACCTAAAGCAGAAAACAAAGTTCAGGAAGAAAAAAACAGTTATTTTCTCAGGGCAAATGATCTTCTGAGATAATGTTCGGCTTGGCCTTTGAGTGGACTGGAAATCTGTTGGCCAATGAGAGTAGAGAACTGGTGAGATTTGTGGAGTGTCTGGCAACTAGAAATCAAGGAAGTGCCCAAATAATGAGAACAAAATTGGGATGGTAACATCCTTTTTGATATGGAGTCAAAAATGTTGGTTCTTGGCCTTGGAGTTAAATTCAGCTAAGTTTAGGCATGAGACATTATTATTTGGTTTACTTTAAAACAGAGAACACTTTTCACCCAGTTTACAGAAGTCAAATTTTTTGAACTAAATGAGTAAAATTAACCTCCTTATTTTTAATTACAGTTTCCTTCTACAATGCTGAAATGAGCTTCTCTGTCTTTGTTGAAGAGCCAAGAATCCTTATTACCAGTGTTATAAATGAATTTACAGAAAATTGGGTAAAATAATCTTTTGCATATTTATGGTATATGTAAATATATGTGAATATATATCTATATCTATATCTATATATATATATAGATATATGACAGAGTATATTAAAACCAGGCTTTACTTTTTTCTACCAATAATCAATTTCACAGCTAAGTAGTGTTGACTTTGGATTTTGCTGCAAATCTGTCTACTCTGTAAGCAACACTAGAATGTATGCAATCTCTCTTTCATAGTGCCAGTGCTGAAAGCCTTTATGGAATGTTATTATTTTCATTTGTTGAGATCTGTACATTTCCCTCCACTGAAACAAATTCTGAGTCTTGGTCAAATTTTTCTATTTGGGGAAAGTGGGAGAGCAGTAATAACAAAATATATGCCATTGTATTTAAGTATTATTGTTTTCTGCATTTTGTTTTTTCTCTTTCCAACACGATGAATGTTTTACTTATTCTTAATTTTTTTTGATATGACTAATACATACTCTCTGTAAAAAAAAATCAGACATTGACCTCTAAGGCCCAGAAAGTAAATGTCCTCTCTAATACTGCCATATGCATTAACTCCGCTTAATAGTTTAAGATACATTCTTTTAGATTTTTTTCTATGCATATTATAACATTGCTGCGTGTATGTTCTTTTACAAAATAATTGTAATTGTACTAGTTATGCTATTCTTCAACTTGTTCCGCCTTCTCTGCACTTAGCTATGTACCTTTGCACGTATTCATGCTGACAAATGCAAATCATACACTTTACCAGACGATAGGATTTCATTGCATGGTTGTATTATAGTTTTTTTTTAATCCATTGGTGGACATTTAAATTGTTTCTATCTTTTTCTCTATTTAGAAACAATGCTGGGCTAGACAGTGTGGCTCATGCCTGCAATCCTAGTACTCTGAGAAGTTGAAACAAAAGGATTGCTGGAGTCCAGGAGTTCGAGAGTAGCCTGGGCGACATGGCAAGATCTTGTCTTCTTTAAAAATAAAATGTTTAAAAAAGAAACAATGCTGAAAACAATTCCCTAGAAATAAATTTTGGGACATTTAAACATTTTTATTGGATAAATTCCTAGAATTGGAATCAGTAGATGAAAGGATGTGAACCTTTCACATTTAAATAGCTGTCACTAAATGGCCTCCCAGATAGGTGACACCAACTTGCACCATCTCCCAACAGCAAGTAATCATATCTGTTTCCCCTCTTTTCCTGTCAGCACTTATTTTCAAGTGTCTATGACATGGTTATGAATATTTGAAAATGGGTGGGTGTATAAGTCTACTCCGGCTACCAGAACAAGATACCATAGACTGGGTGGCTTAAACAACAGACATCCATTTTCTCAGTTCTGGAGGCTGGAAGTCTAAGAGGAAGGTGCTGGCAGAGCTGGTTTCTGGTGAGGCCTCTCTCCCTGGTTTGCAGATAGTCATCTTCTCACCTCTGTCCTTACATGACCTTTCCTCTGTGCACATGCATCCCTGGTCTCTCTTTTTCTTATAAGGACACCAGTCTTATTGGATTAGGGCTCCACCTTCATGGTCTTATTTAACCTTAATTCTGTCCCAAAAGGGCTTATATCTGGATATAACCACATTCAGGGTTAGGGCTTCAACATTTGAGTTTTGGAAAGACCAATTCAACCCATAACAGTAGGTAAAATGTAAATTGGAAAACTCTGTGGAGCAGATGGAAATGTTGAGCCAGCTGAAATAATGAGTGCAGCCTAATGATCACATCATCTCAGGTGACTTTGTTCGGTTAAACCAGAGGAGCAAAATACTAACACTGATTTTTTTTTGTCTTGTACAGCTGAATTCTATATTTCAGGACAGTGAATTTTTTCTTGCTAATCTGAAAACCCAAATTACAAGCAGGTATGTGAATGACATTTACTGAGGGTCAGATGGCAATTTGAGGGCATTTTGGGTCTGTTCCTATCTGGAGGGGATTTCCTATGTTTGTGTCTGAGATTTAGGGCTACCACATGTTTAGTTGCATCTTTTTTCCTGAGTAGGTTCTCTTTGGCATGAGGAAAAACATTGTATTACTATTGTAGGGCATAAAGTCAATGGGAGAATAAAACAAAAGAAAATCAATAGAAGTTGTGCAGTTAGACTGAGTTACCTCTAATGCCCCTTTCATCTCTAAGATTCTATGATTCTGTGACTTAGACAAAAATCATGCCTTGAAATGCTATGGATGATGGACAATGCATGAGGATTTATACAGCCTTTTAATATAAAATGATTCACTTTCAGAAATGGGAAATTCCAAAGTCAACTTGAAATGTCTAAAGCAAGAATGTTGACTAGTCCAAGATTTGCTTGGGACACAAATTTCAAAAAGTGATTGCAGTGAAGTGGGCAGACACTGAGTAGTATTATGGAAAATAGGGCAAAGGCAATTGCTTACTTGGGAAATACTCCCTGTATTCTTTCCCTGCACTAGTCCTCTGTAAAGGGACACCTGGCAGAAGCTCTTTGAAAAATTGGCATGGCTCTGTTCAGCCGTGGTAAACTGATTTTTAAAACATGAAATGCTACTGCCTGTCTCCTCTACACTGGGACTTTGGTTTCCGTTAGATATTTGAGTATAAATTATTAATTATTAATCAAGTATTAATTCATACAAGTATTACTAGTTTCAAGAATATTCATATAAATGAATGGAGGTAAATCTATGGTAGGTTATTGTGTTAATCAGTTTTGAGTTACTATAACAAAAATACTACAAACTAGATGGCTTAAATCACAGAAATTTATTGCTCACAGTTCCAGTGACTGGGAAGTCCAAGATCAAGGGTTGGAAGGTTCAGTGTCTGGTGATTGCCCTCTTCTTGTTGTGTCCTCAAGTGGCAGAGAGCAGAGAGAGAGAAAGCTCTCCTGTCTCTTCTTATAAGAGCACTGTTTCAGAAAAATTCAAATTTTTCTCTCTGCTGTCATACCAACACAACAATCACCATAGGGGACTTCTATGACCAAATGTGTGGGGATTTCCCCCCAATACACCAAGCAGCTGACACTAGTTGGTTGTCCTCTACTTCAGTTCTATTCTGGGGCTATCCTCTCGAAGATGGCTTCAGATCTCACAGGTCCCAAGACTGCCCCTCACCCCAGACACCAATCAAAAGTCCGGGCCTCCGGAACTTCTGACTAACTGACTTCAACTTGGGGTTCCCGTGACACCCTCTTTGAATTTGATTAATTTGCTAGAGTGGCTCACAGAACTCAGGAAAAACGTTATGTTTATTGGTTTATTGTAAAGAATACTGCAGAAGATACAAATGAAGAGATGTGTAAGGCGAGGTAAGGGACAAGGGGCATGGAGCTTCTGTGATCTCCCTGTGTGCACCACCCTCCAGGAACCTCCATGTGTTGAGCTATTGGGAAGTTCTCCAAACCCAGTCTCCTTGGGATTTTATGGAAACATCATTATGTCAGCATTCCTTTTCCGAGTCTCATATGAGGCAGGACTCTGTCTGGAGAGGGTCTCAAGACTCATCATCAGAAAGGTGAAGAAAGATTAGAGTTCTGCCTTGGGGCAGGTGAAAAGAAGGTGGGAGAAGATCAGAGAGATTCTGTTTGCTGCAGCCAGCGTCTGAGGCCTAGCACACCCAACATTATAACAAAAGACTGTAACAAAGGCTATGGGAGTTATGAGCCAAGAACTGTGGATGAAAACATATGTGTATACACACACACACACACACACACACATGCACACCCCCCCCCCACCATCATCACCACCACAGGCACTGATCCCATTTATGAGAGCTCCACCTTCATGATCTAATTACCCCTCAAAGGCCCCACCTCCTAATATCATCACACTGGGGAATGGGCTTCAACGTCGAATTTTGGGCAGACACAAACATTCAGTCCATAACTTACTAAAACAAAACTAGAGATGTCTGCAGGTATACAACATTCTTTTGAAAAACTGTGTCTATTATTTTTCCTTATTATAAAAGTTACATGTGACCATTGTAAAATCTTAGAGCTTCACAGAAATATATGCAACATGATAGTAAAAATCTCTGAATACTTGTCTTCTCCCATCCCTCCCAGAACTCCTGTTAACGGCTTATTTTATTGATTTCTCCAGATTTGTTTTCCTGTATTTACTAAGAGAATAAGATTTTCCTCCACATGCTGTTGGACAACTTTCTTTTCAAGCTTTATAATAAACATCATGTATGCCTTTTCAGGCCAATACATGCAGATATAGCTCATTTGTTTTAATGACAGTAGAGAATTCTTTTATATGTTATTTTATATGTTGTGCCACGATGTTTTCCTCCAGTGATCTAATGATGGACAGTTGAGTAACTTCTACTTGTTGGTACATTTTATGCACTTTTGCTGTTACCATTATGACATAGATTCCTGGACGCAGGGTTACTAAGTCAAAGGTTTGCTACCATTTTGGTGTGCACATAATAAGCAAGCCCTTTGGAAGCATTCCTCTGGAGCCTCAGCATTATTTGAATTTCAAGCTGGGAGGAGTCTACTCTTCTGCCTCAGAGTTGCCTTTCTCCTGATTTTGTACCCTGTATACTTGGTACTATATTTCATTTTCCTATACTTTTGTAATGCTTTTGATACAGGGACATTTCAGAGGAAGAGATGGTCATGGATGAAGCTATTGTAAGTAATTTTTCAGAATGAATCTACTTGTGACCTATCTATGCCTGATTAGATGTAAGTCAATAGCTCTTCCACCCAAGTGTGTACTATCAGGCGAGGTTCTGTTGTGACAACTGGGGGTCAAATTACATTACTTCCTTTGGGGTTTACATAAAAAGCCATCAAGAAAACCATCTCCTGCTTTTCTGAACTATCCATTTGGCAGCTTTTTGAGGCACATTTTCTGGTCTACAAGAGTGTGGAATGACTCGAGGATTGTAAATGGTAAATGAATTTCTTAGTTGTAGATGTCTTGTAAAAAAGCCTAGCTCTTCAAAGAGTGACACAATTGTTTGCAAGACTGGCATTCACACAACAAATCCACCCTCTATTTGTCCAGATTTGAAGCCAGAGCGTGATAAAACTATCTCCCATAATCCTTGCCCCAATTCTCAGTTCTTGTTGCACTGCCTCAAAACTTTACAATAGCACACTCTAAAATGAGTAACAAGCACACAGCTTTTTAGATACTTAAGTATGACTTAAATATTTTGATGATACAGAATACAACCAAGCCCACTGTACAGGGGTCAGGTGCAATGACTGACACCTGTAATCCCAGAGATTTGGGAGGCGGAAGTGGGAGGATTGCTTGAGGCCAGGAGTTCAAGATCAGTCTGAGCAACATAGAGAGACCCCATCTCTACAAAAAATAATTTAAAAATATTAGCTGGGCATGGTGATGCATTCCTGTAGTCCCAGCTACTCAGGAGGCTGAGGTGTGAGGATCACATAAGCCCAGATTTCAAGGCTGCACTGAATTATGATTGCACCACTGCACTCCAGCCTCGGTGATAGAGCAAGACCCTGTCTCTTAAAAAACAAAAAGCCTGTAGTGCATTCCAAATTATCCATTGACATTAAAAATATTTTCTGTAAATAGCTGAGTCAGAAATTTTGCCGTAACACATTATAGATAACATAACTAAAATTCCTGTCAATAACGGGTATAAAATCCTTTTGGTGATAATGGGTCAAGCTGCCTGGGTTGGAACCCCTGCTTTCCCACTTCCAGCCTACGAGAACTTGGGCAACTTAATTAACTTCTCCATGCCACAGTTTCCTTATCTGTAAGATGAGGGCTGTTGGAAGGATAAAATGAGATAATCTATGTTAAGTGTTTAGCACAGGGCTTAGAACATAGTAAATGTTTGATAGTGTCAAGAGCATGTTAATATCTAGATCCAGAAGGCTTGGATTCTGCTCCCAGTTCTGTGACTTGTCAGCTGTGTGGTATTGGGCAGACCACTTAACTTCTCTGTGACTCAGATTCCTCATGTAGAAAACAGGATGACAATCCTTGCATTGCCCACCATACAGGGTTGGTGTGAGGAGTAAATGCATTGATGTTTTTAAAGATAGTTTGTAGATGGCCATGGGTTACATAAATGTAAAGCATAATTATTTAATTGTTGTTAACAATAATCCCTGTACTCAGTTGTGACATTTGTTTAAAGATTTCAGTCACTATGAACTTTTCTTTTGCATTAGCTGGAACAGAGAGGACAAGGAATGGCTACGATTTCCTATGTACCATACAGGTAGGAACTGAGTTTATTAATAGCGGGTACATTTAGTTCTGATTTTCCTTCTATTTAATTCCATATGTATGGCCAGATGGCCAAAGTTGTCAGAAGGAGATCAAAGTACCCAACGATTATTTCACAGATGCTGTAATCAGGCCCTTGCCTTCATGAAATATGTTGTTTCGGTTGGTCATGGCACAGCCTAGCAGCCAGCCTGCTGTCGCTTTGCGATGAAGAGAAAATGGGGTGGTCATAGTCTGGGTCAGGGGAGTGAAGTGTTTGCCGTGGTCAAAAAGGTCCATGAAATACTTAACAGAGAAGTTGGAAACAGCAACAACATGGAAAGTAGCTTCAGTTCTGTTCAGACTCGTGGTCCAGCTCCTCCAAGAATGCTGGCTATTGTTGATGTGTTCGATGCACATCAGGAAGAACATATAGCCAAAGAAGACTGATGAAGAGGTCTTTGAAATGGAGTAGAGGGTCTGTTGCAAGCAGGAGGAGAGGTTTAAAATGAAGACTCCTCTGCGGACTGGAAAGATGAAAGCTGAGAAGAGATAGGCCCCAAAGGAAGGAGGTAGGATGAGCAGGGACTTCACCAAATATGGATCAGGGGAGGGGGAGACATCACTTAGATCAGACATAGAGAGAAGTTTTGAGCAAGCGCAGGTATGTCTAACTTGCAGCTGGCAGGACACTTAGTAAATATGTTCTTCAACAAGCTGTATCTACAAATGGAAATGGAAGAAAGATATAGGTAAGTTTTTAAAATCCGAAATGTGCTTCTTAATGGAATATTAAAGGAATTCAGAATATTTGAGGATCTTGCTATAGAGCATAGAGGATGAAGTCAAGGACAGCCCTAACCTTTCGTCAGCGATCTTTTAGTGGTCATAAAGACTGAGCCTTTGTGACCATGGGAAACGTTACCTCCCTGAGGCTGAGTTCCATCATCTGTATTATGGGAATAATAATAGCATTACCTCATATGGTTGTTGTGAGAACATGTGGAGGAAGAGCTTCACAAATGTTAGCTACTACCATCATCATTATCATCATTATTACTTACTATAGAAGTGAGCCTTCTTCAGAACACTTCTTTATAGACTAATTGAGCATCATGTGCCTCTTTGCCCTATTTTCTTAATGACGGGGAAATTGGAGACCAGGAGAATAAAAGGTTCTATCTGAAATAATGAGAACTCCATCTTCTCTTTTAATTATTACAAACTCTTAGAGAAATCTCAAGGCTAGCAATTTCAGCACAATGAATACATTTCTGACCATTCTTTTGAAAGTAGGTTTTGCATTGTCTGTTTTGGATAGGAGAAAATTATCGGAACATTTCAGTATGCTGTCTTCCATTACTTCTTAGGATGGTCCACTTAATAGCTGTAAAATGTTTGACATTTATGAACTACCAATTACATCAGCGGTACAGAATTTCAGCACTGCAGGCAAAGTTGCACTTCGTTGACATAACTCCAACAATCTTTCTTTTTTATTCTGATTTGTAGCTGTGTTTGTCAGGTCATCATAAAAGCCAGCTCTTCCTTAGCATCCTCTGAATTGATTAGCAAAATCAAAAGTAAAATATGTGGCAACTTCACGCACGGAAACTTCACACAGGATCAATTGATGTTATTAGTAAACTCTGAAGATGTTGCAGTGAAAAAACTAGGTAATTTTTTAGGGGGTGGCTATTGCAGTACAAATTTACTTCTTTTTTTTTTTTTTTTTTTTTTTTTTTTTGCTTTTGTTACCCAGGCTGGAGTGCAATGGCGCAATCTCAGCTCACCGCAACCTCCGCCTCCTGGGTTCAGGTAATTCTCCTGCCTCAGCCTCCTGAGTAGCTGGGATTACAGGCACACGCCACCATGCCCAGCTAATTTTTTGTATCTTTAGTAGAGATGGGTTTTCACCATGTTGATCAGGATGGTCTCGATCTCCTGACCTTGTGATCCGCCCGCCTCGGCCTCCCAAAGTGCTGGGATTACAGGCTTGAGCCACCACGCCCGGCCACAAATTTACTTCTTTTATTACAAAAGTCATAATGTATGCCTGGTTAAGGATTCTGAGTTCCAAAAGGAGAGAAGTCATCTTTATGTTCCTTTCCATATTCTTGGTACCCACTTGATCTGATGACCTTTCTACCTTTAAGAACTTATGGAAGAACAGAGTGCTGGAGGAGTTACCAAAGTCTCTGGTCAGCTCTGGGTATTAGCAATGGTCAGTCCATCAGTAGAATGGGAGAGTTTTCTCTCTTGCATAAATACTCAGAGAATTAAAGAGCTTCCTCATTAACACACAATAGATGCCCAATAGATATTTGCTAATTTATTGATTGATTCAGCCATATTATACATCTTGGCAAGTGATCTGGGTACTGTCCCAGATTTCTATCATGGGCATTCTCTGATTAGCAAAGCTTTCCTGGTAAAAGTGAAAGACTAAAAGGTCACTCCACCTCCTTCCCAGTACAGCTTTGTTCCTTTTTCCCAATAGACTGCTGTAGAAATCATTGAACTCACATAGCTCTAATGCCAGATAACACACACAGGCATCAGAATGCACAATCCGTGGCAATAGATTAAGTATCAGAGGGCAGCCTGGGATGGTGCAGGGGTGAGAGTGAAATGGAGGGCAGAAACGTGTTGAAGCCACAGGCAGAGTCCACCACGTACATGACACTAACAAATGTGTCCTAAGAGTGAGAGGAAGGCACCTTTCACCCTTACTCAGAATGGAGACTGAGACGGCTGAGCAAAGCTGGCTGGGCCACTTCTCACACCACTCTCAACACTTGAGGGAAAGATTTCCAGAATCAGGGTCATCAAACCCAGCGAGTGCTCAGTAAAAACTAGGAACTTATCATATAGACTTAGCCCAGGTCACATTTCCCTTCATGTGACAGCCAAACCTTGCCTTAGCAGCTGTCTGTGGAAGTTTGCCCTGTCCCTCAGCACCAACATCAAAAACAGAGCCCCAGGCTGCATGCAGTGGCTTACATGTATAATCTTAGCACTTAAGGAGGATCACTTAAGGTCAAGAGTTTGCGACCACCCCGGGCAACAAAGCAAGACTCTGTCTCTACAAAAATAAAAAATTAGCTGGACTTGGTGATGCACACCTGTAGTGCTAGCTATTCAAGAGGCTGAGGCAGGAGGATCACTTGAGGCCAGGAGATTGAGGCTGCAGTGAGCCATGATCACACCACTGCACTCCAGCCTGAGTGGCACAGTGAAACCTCATATAACAAACAAACAAAACAGACCTCCCCTGTCTATATTGATAATTTCAGATACACTGAGTTTACTAAAACAAAATCTATCCCAGAGTCCATTAAGAAGGGGGCCATTCCAGAGAGAGAAGTTGGCTTACAGTCTCGTCTTTGGACATAAAACTGATAACAGTGGGTATCTCAGAAGCTGGGCAGCTGGTAGGTGGGGGCTTTTGACTTTTGACTCTGCACTCCAATGTGTGGCTTGAATTTTTTCAATTCATATGTATTGTTTTAAAAACAAGACAAAACAATGTCAGGTGAGGTGGCTCACGCCTATAATCCCAGATCTTTGGGAGGCTGAGATGGGAGGGTTGCTTGAAGCCAGGAGTTTCAGACCAGTCTCTATAACATAGCAAGAAGCCATCTCTACAAAACAATTTAGAAAAACCTCTCTCATCAACTGGCTGTTTTAATGAAAAGGATTAAATATGCAGTTATATTGGGTGGTTTATTATTAATAAAAAAACATTCCATGTAATGATATTTTCAATAAGTCCTGGTCCAAATGTCAAGGTAGAAAACGTTTGCTTTTTAATTTGCTGATCTTCACGTGCAGCATAGTAATAACATTCATAATAATATATAATATATTACTATATTATATTGTTATATAGTAATTTTAATAATGGATGTTCGTAATACTTTTCAGTGACTCTTGACCTTTAAAATGTGCATTCATTTTCTCGGTAGAGCCTGGAAACTGCAAAGCTGATGAAACCGTCTCTAAATACAAAGGGACATATAAGTGGCTATTAACCAACCCTACAGAGACAGCCCAAACTAGATGCATAAAAAATGAGGATGGAAACGCCACAAGAATCTGGTATGTTCAGGCCAAGTTCTAATTGCTAATTTAGATACACAAAGATCTGCTTAATTGGGGACATGTTTCTATGTCATTTGTCTGAGCGTGCTCCCTTCCTCCATCTCTAGTGCCAATATTTCTGTCTATTACCTTTTGGACCTGTTTGAACATACACATCCAACATAATAAGAAAAATTTTCAAGGAGACAAAAGGTAAAAGTTACCCATCATCCCAGAAGAAAATTCAAGAAGACAAAAGAGAAAAATTCACCCATACCCCCACTGCCTGAACGAAACTGTTTTTAGGTTGGCATGTATTTTTTTCATCTAGCCTTTCTCCATATGCCTTTAAATTTTATGTAGTGGTAATCACTGTCCTCATATCAATAATGCAATTTACCCTTCCATTCAGTGGTTTATCAAACATTTTCCATGTTTTACATTCATGATCTTAATGTTCATCTAAAAGAAAATGGCCTTGGAAACTAGTTGATGGGCCATAGTAATTTACTAAATCACTCTTCTATTGTTGACTTTATCATTTTCCTTTTTAAAATCATCAGCCCTCTTTTCTTACTCTCTGCTGTTCATGGTTTATGCCATTAACTTAAGTGGGCAAGACTAGAGGGGCAGCAGATTTTGACAGAAGCTAAAAAGCCCTCTTTTAGAAAGCAACTTCAAGGACTTTCTTTCTCCTCCCTGTGTCTAATCAGTCGGCAACTCCTGCAGCTTTGACGGTCCTAGTCAGAGCCCACATCTAGCCTTTCCTTTCCAACCCCACTGCCACTACCTTGGTGCAAGCCCTTATTGCCCACTCTTAGAGCAGTCTCCTTGCTATCTAACTGCATGGTACACCTTGCCTGCTCCACCAACTGTACCCCACGCTGCTGCCAGCGTGATCTTCCTGAAGTACGGCTGCCATCATGCCACCGTCCTGCTCCAGTTTGACATTGCCCCAAGAATTAAGTCCAAACCCCTCAATATAGTCCATCAGACCATGGGCTTCCTCTCCTGCTGCCTCACTCATTCTCCCTCCCTGTACCGTACACTCCAGTCAAAAAGGCCATTTGTTGTTCTGAGCTCAATGAGCGAAGCTTCCTAGTGTCTCTTTGTCTGCTTGTGCTGTTTACCCTTCTTGGGGTTGGGGACAGAGGTTTTTCTCTACCTCTGTCCTTTCTACCTTGTCCTCCAAGCTCAAATGCTGAAAGTAACATCTCTTTCCTTGGTGGTTTGGTAGATTCAGTTTTGTTTTTACAGCTTTTCATCTTATATTTGCCCTAAGTCTCGAGTAATTACATTTCGAGTTTTAAACCCCCTAATTACAAGCTCCTTGAGGGACCGATGAAACCCTGCCCTGTTTGTGCTACCTATTAACATTCCTAGAACAGAGTGGGTGCTCAATAAATGTGTTAGCTGACTTGAAATGAACTGTTTTTTTTTTTTTTTTTTTTTTTTTTTTTTTTTTTTTTTTTTGAGACGGAGTTTCGCTGTTTTTACCCAGACTGGAGTGCAATGGCACGATCTCGGCTCAGTGCAACCTCCGCCTTCTGGGTTCAAGCAAATCTCCTGCCTCAGCCTCCCAGGTAGCTGGGACTACAGGTGCGCACTACCATGCCCAGCTAATTTTTGTATTTTTAGTAGAGACGGGATTTCACCTTGTTGACCAGGATGGTCTTGATCTCTTGACCTCGTGATCCACCGGCCTCGGCCTCCCGAAATGAACTGGTTTAAATTTGGGGAGGGTGGATGATGAAGGAAAATGGGCTGTAGAGGACTCTATACTAATTGTTTTGAGTCAGTTAATATGCTGAGATAGAGACCACATTCCAACAGGAAATTCTCCTTTAAAAAGGGTAAGAAGGGATAGTGAGAGTAAAGAGTCATGTCTAGAGGAGCAGTATTTCTGCCTTGACTCTTGGCCAGCGGAACATTGCCATGCCCCATTCCCATCTCCCTTGCCTGTTTATCCATCCCGCTTCCCCTTTCCCACATGTTGATTCTAGATTCACTTGCTCCTAATAGCAAAATTGCTTCACTTCACAAAGTAGTACTAGGCTCCCACCTTTGCTCACTATGCCAGGAGGCTGGGGACAGGCGAGGAGAAGGCACGCCAAGGATACACCCGTTCCGTTACCATTTGCTTTAAGACTATCCTTGCCTCATCCTCTGATGAGAAAGCTCTTTTCTCTCTTTTTCAGTTTAATCAGCATCAACACAGGCAAATCTCAGTGGGAAAAGCCAAAGTTTAAACAATGCAAATTGCTTCAAGAACTTCCTGACAAGATTGTGGATCTTGCTAATATTACTATAAGTGATGGTAAGATTGTTCTGTACATATAAGACAAATTATGGAACTTTGATTACTTTGCCTACTTGACCTCAAACCAAAGACAGCATAGGAAAACATCACTTAGGAAAATCTACCTTACGAAAATCCAATTTCAGAACCAAGATGATTAATGTTGGTGGAGGTGGTGATGGGGCATGAGATGTTAGGACTATCAGTGTTTCAGTGATTTTTGTTTGTTTTTGTTTTATACATTTTTTTTTTTGAGACTGAGTTTCACTCTTGTTGCCCAGGCTGAAGTGCAATGGCATGTTCTCGGCTCACTGCAACCTCTGCCTCCCAGGTCCAAGCAATTCTCCTGCCGCAGCCTTCCGAGTAGCTGGGATTACAGGTGCCTGCCACCATGCCTGGCTAAGTTTTTATATTTTTGGTAGAGGCGGGGTTTTACCATGTTGGTCTCATGTTGGTCTCAAACTCCTGACCTCAGGATCCACCTGCCTTGGCCTCCCAAAGTGCTGGGATTACAGGCATGAGCCACCGCGCCTGGGCTTATTTTACTTTTTTGGCTAATTATTGTTTTTATTAATTTTAATTAAGAAATTAATAGGTAATACTTCACTGAGTTCAATATTCAAAAAACAAAAAGAGTATATGTAAAACATGTCTCTCCCACTGCTGACCTCAGCCATTCAGTCACTATCCACAGAGACATTTTATGCATTCATAATGGCATGTATATGTATACATCCACATATACTCGCCCTCACTTTTTGTACACAAACTGGAGAATGCTATACACACTATTCTTCACCTTGCTTTTTTGTCTTAATAGTATATTGCAGAGTTTATTATATATAAATACATATATAAATATATAAATTTATTGTCTATAAATATATATAATCTCAGTATATAAAGAGTTTCCTCATTCTTTTTCCCCTGCTGCATGGTATTATACCACAATAAATGTGCCACAATTTAGCAATTTAACCTGTTTCATGTGGATGAGTATTTAGGTTGTTAGTAACATTTTTCTTTGAAAGCATGACTGTACAACTATTTTTGTGGTTTTTTTATTGTAGGGAAAATAGTATAACATATTTTAAAAGAACTTTCATTTTTGATGTTGTATAAGATGCCTTAGAGATGGCATTGCCTAAGCAGCTAATCTAGAAGGTTGCATTTCTTTCAAAAATACATTTGTAGACCATGTTGGCTTTTGTTTTGGTTTGTGACACTGTTCGCATATTTCATATTATAAGGTAAAAGAGATTCAAAATAAAGAGTACCTCTTTAAAATAAAAACCTCACTGCTTCAAAGAATATTACACATATGTCACAATTTTGGGAAAGAAGGGTATACCTAAAGCACACATCCTTGAACGTGGAATTGCTGGCTCAATCATACTTCTGATGGTGTCAAAATGCTCTCTGTAATACTTACAACATTTTAGATTCCCATTTGCAAGGTATTAAAAGTGCCTTTTTCACAATTCCTCCATCAACACAGCATTTTGTTATCAGACTTCTGGATCTTTTTGTAATTTGATAAGCAGAGATCGATATCTCAATATAGTTTAGATATTTTTAATGGAGATGTTCACATATCATAAAATTCACTCATTTAATGTGTACAATTTAGTGGATTTTTAAAAGGATATTCGCTAGATTGTGCAACCATCATCAGTAATTCCAGAATATATCTTCACCCCAAAAAGAAACCCTGTACTCATTAGCAGTTTCTCCATTTCTCCCCAACCCCAGCTCTGGGCAACCACTAATCTACTTTTTGTCTCTATGAATTGTGCCTATTTGGGGCATTTAATGTTTCTGAGGTTCATCTAATGTTGTAGCATGTATCATTGCTTCATTCATTTTTACGGCTACATTATATTCCATTATATAGACATACCACATTTTGCTTATTAACTCATCAGTTGATGGACATTTCTTTTCCACCTTTTGGCTATTATTAAAAATCTGGCTATGCACATTTACGTACAGATTTTGTGTAGACATACGTTTTCAATTTTCTTGGGTATACATTGAAGGGTAGAATTGCTAGGTCATATGGTAAGCCTATGATTAGCTTTTTGAGGAACTGCAAAGCTGTTTTCCACAGCAATTGTGCCATTCTACATCTCTGCCAACTCTGTATGAAGGTTCCAATTTCTTCACATCCTTGTAAACACTTATGATTATTGTCCGTGTTTTAGATTATGGCTGGTAGTAATGCCCTCCCAGAGCACCTTTATTCCTGATTTTAGTAATTTGTACCTTCACTTTTTTATCTTGGTCAGTCTAGCTAAAACTTTTTTTTTATTTTGTTAATTTTTATAGTCTTTATTTTTGAGAGCAGTTGTAGAATCACAGCAAAACTGAGCACAAAGTACATAGCTCCAGCATATACCCTCCCCCAACCACATGCACAGACTCCCCCACCATCAATATTCCCCACTAGAGTGGTACATCTGTTACAATTGAATCTACACTGATACATTGTTATCACCAATACTTCATAGTTTTAGTGTTCAGTCTTGCTATTGTACATTCTGTGGGTTTGGACAAATGTATAATGACATGAATTCACCATTACAGTGTCATATGGGATATTTTCACTGCTCTAAAAGTCCTCTAACATCCACTTATTCATCCCTCCTTCCTCCCAACCCCTGGCAATCACGGATCTTTTTACTATCTCTGTGTTTTTGTTTTTTCCGGAAGGCCATATAGTTGGAATCTTACAGTATGCAGTCTTTTCAGATTGGCTTTTTTCACTTAGTTATGTGCATTTAAATTTCTTCCATGTCTTTTCATAGCTTGGCAGCTCATTTCTTTTTGGCACTGAATAATATTCCATTGTCTGGATGTACCACAGTTTATTTACTCATTCACCTACTGAAGGACGTCTTGGTTGCTTTCAAGTTCTGTTAACTATGAATACAGCTACTATAAACATCTGTGTGCAGGTTTTTGTATGGATGTTAAGTGTTCAACTCATTTGGGTAAAGAACAAAAGGTGTGGTTGTTGGATTGTATGATAAGAGTAGGTTTAGTCTTGTAAGAAGCTGCCAAATTGCCTTCCAAAGTGCTGTGCCATTTTGCATTCTCATCAGCAATGGGAGTTTCTATTGTTTCACATCCTTTCCAGCATTTAGTGTTGTCAGTGTTTTAGATTTCGGCTATTCTAATAGGTGTGTAGTGGTATATCATTGTTGCTTAAATTTGCAATTCCTTAATGACATATGTTGTTGAATAGCTTTTCATATGCACATTTGCCATCTTTATGTCTCCTTTGGTGAGGCATATACTATAGGCTGAATGTTCGTGTGCCTCAAAAATTCATACGTTGAGATTCTAACCCCAATGTGATGGCATTTGGAGATGAGGCCTTTAGGAGGTGATTAGGTCATGAGGATGGAGCCTTCATGAGTGAGATTAGTGCCCTAATAAAAAAAGCCCCAGAGAGCTTCTTTGCCCCTTTCACCACGTGAGGTTACAGTGAAAAAAATGGACGTCTATGAGCCAGGAAATGAGCTCTCACCAGACACTGAATCTGTTCCTCATAGACAACTTGCTAGACATGACTGTATTACATAAAATGGGTCCCTCCCATAGTGAAATGTCAGAAATTGAGGAACAGGCATTCCAGTACCTCGCAGAAGGGCCAGGGAATTGGCCTTGAGGCAGTGAACTTCTCAGACCTGTTTTCCTTACAGAGAATGCAAGTTTTAGATCCTTGCTGAGGACTATCTAGAAGAATGAGAAAAGGAAACACAGCTCTGATGATTTCTAGATCAGAAACCAAGAGTCAGGGCAATAGGAAATGTTACAGCTTGAAGGGAATGGGCAGAAAGACGGAGAGTTTGTGTTTCACGCTGACCTCCCTCCTTCTGAGTGACACATTTTCTTTAGACATGTTAATAGAATTTTTTCTTGTGGAAGAAAAAGTTAACAAACAGTCATAACCACAACAGAATTGTTGTTGGGATTTTTAGAAAATTGACTGTGAGAAGTCATTTTATATCTAGAAAACTACCATGGAGTTAAAGAACAATTGGATGATGATTGTAATGTATATAACTGAAAAGTAAATTATTGAGTTTATTATCTTTGGAAGAATCCTATTCTACTTGTAAATTAGGGGCTTAATGAACAATGAATACAATATAAAAGAAAGAAAATGGGCCGGGCGCGGTGGCTCACGCCTGTAATCCCAGCACTTTGGGAGGCCGAGGAGGGTGGATCACGAGGTCGGCAGATCGAGACCATCCTGGTCAACATGGTGAAACCCCGTCTCTACTAAAAATTACAAAAAATTAGCTGGGCACGGTGGCATGTGCCTGTAATCCCAGCTACTCAGGAGGCTGAGGCAGGAGAATTGCCTGAACCCAGGAGGCGGAGGTTGAGGTGAGCTGAGATCGTGCCATTGCACTCCAGCTTGGGTAACAAGAGCGAAACTCCGTCTCAAAAAAAAAGAAAGAAAGAAAGAAAGAAAGAAAGAGAGAGAGAGAGAGAGAGAGAGAGAGAGAGAGAGAGAAAGAAAGAGAGAAAGAAAGAAAGAAAGAAAATGTATTCACATTGAAACAATATATTTTCTTTTGCTTTCAATCTTGCTGACAAGCATTAGATATCTTGGTTGAAGAAAAACTCTTCAGCTCTCTCACTTAAATACTCATTTTTCTTAATTCTTTAACATCACAGAGTTAGAAAAGGTACTGTTATTTCAAAGTTTTTGGGGTTCTCTTCTGTGGTCAATGTTTGTTACCTCCATGACAGTAAAGATGCATCAGGCTCTAGTGACGTTGACTAGAACTTTTCACAAAACTCTCTCCTGAGGACTGTCTAGAAGAATTAGAAAAGCAAACACATTCCACCATTGGGGCAGGATAGTGAGTGCTTTTTTTTTGTTGTTGTTTAACTTCTTGTTACCAAGGCTGGGGTGCATTGGCGCAATCTCGGCTCACCGCAACCTCCGCCTCCTGGGTTCAAGTAATTCTCCTGCCTCAGGCTCCCGAGTAGCTGGGATTACAGGCACGCGCCACCATGTCCAGCTAATTTCTGTATTTTGAGTAGAGACGGGGTTTCACCATGTTGACCAGGATGGTCTCGATCTCTTGACCTCGTGATCCACCCACCTAGGCCTCCCAAAGTGCTGGGATTACAGGTTTGAGCCACCGCGCCCAACCTTGAGAAAGCAGTGGAATTCCCAGGAGGTCAGGTAGGAAGACTGCAAAGCACAGCTGTTCCAACCCCCAACATGGTGGAGAAAAGGGCCAAAGGCAAAGATGCTACACAAAGTGATACTGAAGAGCTCAAGCTTTGGAGTTAGCACTAGGTTAGATTATTTCAATGTTTTAACTTCTTAATCTATTTAAAAGGGATAATGTGAGTACTTTCATGACTAATATGAAGGTTATTGTGATGAATAGATGAGAAAACACATATAATGCCTTGCTGTTGTATCCTGTCTCCAAAATGCCCACCAACTCATTTGTCAATTGGGAGTTGAATCAGGGCTGGCTTGTGACTGCTTAGCCCAGTAGAATTTGGAAGAAATGGCTTTGCCAATGATGGGACTAACGTTTAAGGGGACTGAAAGTTTCTGCATCCTTTCTCTTGGTACACTCTCATTTGAGATGCTTCCTCAGAGCCAGCCACCATGCTGTAAGTAGTTCAAACAGTGGTGTGCTGAAAAATATTTAACAACAAGCTCTACCCAAGGAAGGTACTGGTTTGTAGCTTTTGCCAGTTTTCATGGTATAATACCATCTCCTCCATGGCTGCATACAAACTACAATGTAATGTATAGTCACTGAACTATAAAGTTGGTAAGAGATGTTTGCACAGATACAGTAGATATGTAAATAATCACAAGAGCATAGATTAGTAAAATATAGCAAAATAATTGGGAAGTGAAGTGTTTTGAGTATCATCATTTTAAAGTATAATTTATGCAATTGTAGGTTTACATAATTTAATTTTTAATAATGGCCATGTTTAACAACTAGCTCACAAAATTCCTGAAAATTTAACAATTGGTTCTCATTAGCTGGTACAAGCTGGCTCCAGTACATCACAAGCCAGACCCAGCACCCTACTGAGCCTACACCACTGTGGGAGGCCATGTGTAGGGAGTACAGCCAACAGCCCAACTGACTAGTCTGCATCAATTGCCAGACACGTGAGTTAGCCCTCTTGGACATCCAGCCCAGATTAGCCTTCTGATGTGTTCAGCCTCAGCTGCTATCTGATTTCAACTGTGTGAGACACTCCAAGCGAGTACACTCAACTGAGCCTAGTTAACACACAGAACCATGAAGGATAATAACAAATTGTTGCTTTAAGCCATTAAGTTTTAGGGTGATTTGTTATACCGCAAGAGATAACCTGGAACACTGGCTCATAGAAATTGCTCAGTAAATAGCAGATATTATTATTTAAAATGTTGTAATTACTGGCAGATTAACTGTAACAGTATTTCAAGGAATGAGGATCAATTTATTCTTCAATAAATAAAGGAGGAGTCCCTTTATTGCTTTTGCTTGGGGACCAGGAATTTTTACACGATGAGTGTAATTCATCTTGAATTTTCCTTAAAAACTATATAACTCCAGAGAAAAAGTCTATAATCACTTTTCACAGTATAGTTAGTCTCCCATTGTCCTGCTGTTTACTTTCATTCTGACACAGCAGGGACTACGTGAAAGTGAAATTGCACCACTGAGGCCCAAAATCATGACTAGGCAGCTCTTGCTATTCCATTTTCAACAGTCTGAGCAATTTAATAAGAGCAGTAGAAAGTTCTGTGAATGAGCTCACTATCTTTTTCTATCATCCCTAGTCTTAATATTTTCTCAGTTTCTTTAACTTACCAGAAGATAGATGTTAACTGGGACAAAATATTAATTCAAAAACAATTACAACCTTGTTCAATCACCTCTCTTCCTCCCATCTCCTCAGGGAGAACTCTGTCTTTGCTAGCTCAGTTCCTATGTGATCCTTTATTGGACAAATCGAGGTAATGGCTGGGGGGAGAATTGAGAGGATCTCAGTTATGATTGCTTATTTTACATTGATGGGGACAGAAAGTTTGCAGAAAAAAGGATAGAATAAAGAAAGAATGTAAGGAGGAGGAGGAGAAAGCAAAAGGTAGTGTGTGTAGGCTTTTAAAGGTGTTAAGTTGTGGGGAGCTTGGGGTAGGAGAGAGATTTGAGGAGGCACAACTATGCAGGTCATTGAAAGAGAGGGAGGAAGAGAAAGACAGAGAGAGAAGGGATGAATTTTATGCTGAATTATTTTGTTTTCCGAAACAGGTTGATTATTTGTAATATAACCTGGGTTAAGTGCGTTATGAGTGTTAGCTCTGTCTGGAATTTTTCTTAACAAATTGCATTTTTTTGAACATTTTCTTTTATATTTTGGTTATTGGACTTGAATGTGATTGCTTTAAGCTAGGAAGACACCACAAGAAAGCTCAGCTTTATATGTGTTCTATTGAACTAAAATCTAATTTGTGCTGTATTCATTTAACAAAGCTCTTCACTTTAAAAGTGGATCGTGATTCAAACAAAACAACTATTTAGAAGAAGCATTTATGAGACAGGAACTTTTGGGCACTGACAGGATATTTGATGATTTTGAATATTATTGCTAATAATTAAATTTAATTTTAATTGTTATTGTGGTTGTGACATGTAAAAATCCTTTATTTTGGAGATACATACCGAAGTGTTTATGGATAAAAATAATATCATGTCAGTTTGAAATAATCTGGGGTTGGGGAAAAGGTGAGTGGGAGTGTAGATAAAATGAGATTAGCCATTTGTTGACACTTGTTGAAGTTGGGTGATTCATGAGGACCATGGAAATTCATTATGCTGTTATTTCTACTTTTGTGTATGCTTGCAAATTTCCATAGTAAAACGTGAAGAAAAAAGCGAGTGAGTTAATATCTATTGTTCTTACTCTCTGGAAAATCTAAATTAACTGCTTTTTATTACGATGTAGTCCATATTTGCTTTTTTTCTGTGGTTTGATGGTTCTTGACAGGAAAATGTAACCACCACCCTTAATTAAGAAAACATAGACTGAGTGTTTGTTGATGTTTGAGTATAAGATGAGATCTACTTAACACAATCCAATACTCAAAAGTCTCAATTTAATTAGAATAAAATTTCAAGATAATTCTTCAGGGACAAAAAGAGTTCCCTGTACATTTGAAAAAGGATTTAGTGAATGAAAACTTTTTAATCAATAAAAACTTGACTTACGTTCTACTTTCTGGGACTACATCTATTGTAGAAACAAAGGGCCAACGTTTTCCTTCTGTAAACGTTTTACCTTGGTAAGTATTCTCATCTCACCCTCTTTACTCTTTAAAGGGAAGGAAGTACACCAGAATGGCAGAAGACTAAGTCATGCAGCTTTTATGTCTCAACTTTCTTTCCCCAGAGAATGCTGAGGATGTTGCAGAGCACATTTTAAATTTGATAAATGAATCCCCATCCCTGGATAAAGAAGAGACAAAGATCATTGTTTCTAAAATATCAGATATTTCACAATGTGATGAGATAAGTATGAACCTAACCCACATTATATTACAAATAATCAGCGTTGTTTTGGAAAAGCAAAACGATTCAGCCTCTGATCTGCATGAAGTTAGCAATGAGTAAGTATTAATACTTTGGAGAAAGACATTATTTCTTAAGATTTAAAATGCAGTCGGCCCTCTGTATCTGTGCATTCTGCATTTGTGAATTCAAACAACCACAGATTGCAAATATCCTTAAAAAAATCTTGCGTTGATAGTGAACAAGTACAGACTTTTTTCTCATCATTATTCCCTAAAAAATACAGTATAACAACTATTTACATAGCATTTGCATTGTATTAGGCATTACAAGTAATCTAGAGATTAAAATATACAATGATGTACATAGGCTATATGAAAATACTACCCCATTTTATATCAGGTACTTAAGCATCCATGGATTTTTGTATCCATGGGAGTCCTGGAACAGATCCCCCAAAAATATCAATGGACGACTGTGTATATTATCAATTTTTTGGCATACAGTCATCATCGATTTTAAAAGTCAGGTAGTTACACATTGAAAGCTCAGTTAGTACAATGCAATGGGGTCACTTTACTCAAATATTCATTGTGAAAGGATGTATTTGAATTCTAACTGAATCTTAGTGACAGCAAGTTTTCAAGTAAACAGTTACCCCAAACCAGACCCCCAGTCTATTTCCCCAACCTTTGTGCTCCCTCAGTGTTCTTAATGTGTATAAAATGTATCCAACCAATGTTAAAGTGAAAAACTCGACAATAGTACCAGTTACCTCCCTCCAACTTCACAGCCAATCAATAACCAACTCTTGTATGTACTCTGTACACCCACTTATAAAATCCCTTAAATATTCCAGTGGAATTCATTTACTTCTCTTCATCTCCTCCACCACCACCACCCTATTCCTAGACCTAGTTCTCTCACCAAACTGTCTATAACAACTTCCTGGCCAGGCACAGTGGCTCATGCCTATAATCCCAGCACTTTGGGAGGCCGAGGCAGGTGGATCACGAGGTTAAGAGATTGAGACCATCCTGGTCAACATGGTGAAACCCCGTCTCTACTAAAAATACAAAAAAATTAGCTGGGCATGATGGTGCGCGCCTGTAGTCCCAGCTAATCAGGAGGCTGAGGCAGGAGAATTGCTTGAACCCAGGAGGTGGAGGTTGCGGTGAGCCGAGATGGCGACATTGCACTCCAGCCTGGGTAACAAGAGCGAAACTCCATCTCAAAAACACAAAACAACAACAAAAAACTTCCTAAATGATCTCCCTGCCTCCATTCTTGACCCTCTATGGGTCATCTTCTACATGGCACCCACGGTAATCTTTTAATGTATATATCAGATCATGTCCTTATCTTGCTTTTAAAACCACTCAGTGGCTTTCCATTACACATAGAATGAAATCCAAACTTCTTATAAAGTCTTACGAGGCCCTGAAGGGTGTCGCTTACATGTTACAATTTTGTTAATTTTCACAACAATCTTTTGAGATGAGTGTAGTATTACTTCTGACTTTGCAGGTGAGGAAGCTGAAGCTAAGTGAGATTACTGTATTTGGCCGCACAGTTACATATGAGAGGAGCTAAGATTTAGACATCAACTTGTCTGATTCCAAAGCCGGTGCTCTTATTTAATAATTCCTAAGTGATATAAAGATAGTGATTAAAACACAAAGAAAAGTCTTGCAATGAGGAAATCTTGTAAGGAGGTGGGTTTTACTTTTAAGGGGTAGGATGCTCTTCTCCATCTGTGGGTTCTTGCAGAATTCTGAGGATAATTGAGCATGCTGGTCACAAGATGGAGTTTTCTGGACAGAGAGCAAATCTGACGGTGGCTGGGCTGGCTTTGGCTGTGCTGCGGATGGACCACACATTTGATGGCATGGCCTTCAGCATTCACTCCTACGAAGAAGGCACAGATCCTGAGGTGAGTGCAGTTCAGAGAACTGAAAGCCAATCAGCCAAGCACTGTTTCAAGTCTTCATTCATTTACTCCTTGGGAGACAGAGAGGACACTCTGTTAAGGTTTTAATCTTCAGGGGACCTTATGGAAATGCAAACATCCCAGGGAAGATTCATATATAATCTTTAGTAGGCTGACACCTTGGTTGGAATGGTGTCTGTGAATTGTGCAATGATTGGCTCTGTGACCCCAAATTATCTCAAATGTCAGTTTATCCTTGGCCACCATTTATGGAACACATTATATGTTGGACATTGTGCTACTGTCTCCTTTGTATAGATAAGGAAACAGAGAAGTAATTTGCCCAAGAACACATAGTCTAATGGCTAAGCCAGAATTCAATCCTATGTTTGTCTGACTTTGAAGCCTGGGCCCTTTCCACCATATCATCCTACCTTAGCCATTGACAGGTTATAGGCTGCCAATCCTGCTCAAGACGATTTCGGAGATCAGATTTTTTTTTTTTTTTTTTTTTTGAGACGGAGTTTCGCTCTTGTTACCCAGGCTGGAGCGCAATGGCGCCATCTCGGCTCACCACAACCTCCGCCTCCTGGGTTCAGGCAATTCTCCTGCCTCAGCCTCCTGAGTAGCTGGGATTACAGGCACGCACCACCATGCCCAGCTAATTTTTTTGTATTTGTAGTAGAGACGGCGTTTCACCATGGTGACCAGGATGGTCTCGATCTCTTGACCTTGTGATCCACCCGCCTCGGCCTCCCAAAGTGCTGGGATTACAGGCGTGAGCCACAGTGCGCGGCTGAGATTTTTTTTTTTTACAATTAAAAACTAATAAAATTTGCATATAAGAAAATGCACAAATCCTAAGTATACACCCTCTGCATTTTGATAAATGTATACATCTACGTAATCCAAGCTTCTATTAAGATATGGAATGTTGACCAGGTGCAGTGCCACACCTGTAATCCCAGCACTTTGTGAGTTCAAGGTGGGAGGAACACTTGAGCCCAGGAGTTTGAGACCAGCCTGGGCCATATAGTGAAACCCTATCTCTACAAAAAATAAAAAAGGCCAGGCACGGTGGCGCGTGCCTGTGGTCCAGCTACATGAGAGGCTTAGGTGGGAGGATCACTTGAGACCAGGAGATCAAGGCTGCAGTGAGCCATGACTGCACCACTGCATTCCAGGCTATGCAACAGAGCAAGATTCTGTATTTTAAAAAAGATCTAGAATATTACTATCTCCTCTGAAAGCCCCTTGTGCCCTTTGCAAGTCAGTCTCTGAAACTACTGCCTGCAATGCCAATCATTGTTCTTCTTTTTTTCCCATCATAGTTTTTCCAGTTTTAGAACATTATATAAATGAAGTCTTACAATATGTATTCTCTTTTATAAGGCTTCTTTCATGTAGCATAATGGTTTTTCTTTGAGTCATCCTTTTGTTTCAGTAGTTCGTTCATTTTTATTGCTGAATGCTATTCCATCGAATGGGTATACCACAGATTCCTTGTATATTCTCCTCTTGATGGACGTTTGGAATGTTTCCAGTTTGGCTATTATGGATAATCCTGCTATGAACCTTTGTGTATAAGTCTTCATGTGACCATATGTTTTCGATAAACACTTAGGAATGGAATAGCTGGCACGTAGGTGTATGTTTATTATTTCTTTTTTTTATTATTTTTTAAGATGGGGTCTTGCTCTGGCATCCAGGCTGGAGTGTGGTAGCACAATCTCTGTTCACTGAAAGCTCTGCCTCCCAGATTCAAGTGATTCTCCTGCCTCAGCCTCCCAAATAGCTGGGACTACAGGCACTCACTGCCACACCCAGCTAATTTTTGTATATTTAGTAGAGACTGGATTTCACCATGTCGACCAGGCCAGTCTCAAACTCCTGGCCTCAAGTGACCCACCTGCCTCAGCCTCCCAAAATGCATAAGCCACCTCACCCGGCCTGTAGGTATATGTTTAAATGTATTAGAAACTGTCACAGTGTTTTTGAGAGTCGTAAATGATGTAGAGTAATTTTTCCTGCTCATATTAGTTATTTGTATATCTTTGGTGAAGTATCTGTTAAAAATATTTTGCCCATTTTTAAATTGGGTATTTTCCTTTTTTATTGCAATAGTTTTTGGGATACAGGTGGTTTGGGGTTACATAGGTAAGTGGTGATTTCTGAGATTTTATTGTACTCGTCACCTGAGTAGTATACTCTGTACCCAATATGTGGTCTTTTATTCTTTACCCCCTACCACCCTTTCCCTTGAGTCCCCAAAATCCATTATATCATTCTTATACTTTTGTGTCCTCATCATAGCTTACCTTCTACTTATAAGTGAGAACATATGATATTTGGTTTTCCATTCCTGAGTTATTTTACTTAGAATAATGGCCTCTATCTCCATCCAAGTTGCTGCAAAAGACATGATTTCATTCCCTTTTATGGCTGAGTAGTATTCCATGGTGTATATATACCACATTTACTTTATCCACTTGTTTGTTTGATGGAAACTTAGGTTGGTTCCATATCTTTGCAACTGTTAATTATGCTGCTTTAAACATGTGTGTGCATGTGCCTTTTTCATATAATGACTTCTTTTCCTTTGTGTAGATACCCAGTAGTGGGATTGTTAGATGGAATGTTAGTTCTAAGTTTAGTTCTTTAAGGAATCTCCATACTGTTTTCCATAGTGGTTGTATTAATTTATATTCCCACGAACTGTATAAAAGTGTTTCCTTTTCACTACATCTATGCTAACATCTATTGTTGTTTGGCCTTCTAATTATGGCCATTCTTGCAGGAGTAAGGTGGTATCTCACGGTGGTTTTGATTTACATTTCCCTGGTGATTAAGGATGTTGAGCATTTTTTCATGTTTGTTGGCTATTTGTCTATCTTCTTTTGAGAATTGCTTATATATGTCCTTTGCCCACTTTTTGATAGGATCATTTGTTTTTTGCTTGCTGATTTGTTTGAGTCCCTTGTAGATTCTGGATACTGGTCCTTTGTCAGATGCATAGTTTGCAAATGTTTTCTCCCACTCTGTGGATTACCTTTTGACTCTGCTGATTATTTCTTTTGTTGCACAGAAGCTTTTTAGTTTAATTTGATCCCATTTATTTGTTTTTGTTTGTGCATTTGCTTTTGGGGTCTTAGTCATGAGTTTTTTGCCTAGACCAATGTCCAGAAGAGTTTTTTCCAATGTTATCTTCTAGAATTTTTATGGTTTCAGATCTCACATTTAAGTCTTTGATCCATCTTGAGTTGATTTTTGTGCAATTCAAGTGATGGTGAGCCAGTTTCATTTTTCTCCATGTGGCTTACCAATTATCCCAGCACCATTTTTGGAACAGGGCGTCCTTTCTCCACTTTATGTTTTCATTTGCTTTGTCAAAGATCAGTTGGCTGTAAATATTTGGCTTTATTTCTGGGTCTTCTATTCTGTTCCATTTGTCTACATACCTACTTTTATACTGATACCATGCTGTTTTGGTAACTATAGCCTTGCAGTATAATTTGAAGTTGGGTAATATGATGCCTCCAGATTTGTTCTTTTTGCTTAGAATTGCTTTGGCTATGTGGGCCTTTTCTGATTCTGTAAGAATTTTAGAATTTTTTTCTAGTTCCATAAGAACGATGATGGTATTTTGGTGGGAATTGCATTATGTGTAGATTGCTTTTTGCAATATGGTCATTTTCACAATATTGATTCTTTCCATCCATGAGCATGTGATGTGTTTCCATTTGTGTCATTTATGATTTCTTTCAGCAGTTCTTTCTAGTTTTTGTTGTAGAGTTCTTTCACCTCCTTTGTTAAGTATATTCCTAAGTGTTTTATTTTATTTTGCAGCTGTTGTAAAAAAGATTGAGTTCTTGGTTTGATTCTCAGCTTGGTCAGTGTTGGTGAATAGCAGTGCTGCTGATTTGTGTACATTGATTTTGTAACCTGAGACTTTACTGAATTCATTTATCAGATGTAGGAGCTTTTTGGATGAGTCTTTATGGCTTTCTAGATATACGTTCATATCACTGGTGAACAGCAACAGCTTGACTTCCTGTTTTCAAATTTGGATGCCCTTTCTTTCTTTCTCTTGTCCGATTGCTGCGACTAGGACCTCCAGTACCAAGAAATGGTAAAAGTAAGCATCCCTCTTATTACTGAGTTGAAAAGTGTTCTTTACATATTCTGGATACAAGCAATTTATCAGATAAATGTTTTGAAAATGTTTTCCTTATGGCTTGTCTATTTTCTGAATAATATCTTTTGATGAGCAGTTTTTCACTTTCTTATTTTTTATTTTTTTATTTTTTTGGAGTGTGGGTCTCGTTCTTTCACCCAGACTGGAATGCAGTGTCTTGAACACAGCTCACTGCAGCCTTGACCTCCTGAGGTCAAGCTATCCTCCTGCCTCAGCCTCATGTGTAGCTGGGACCACAGGCACGCACCATCATGCCTGACTAATTTTTTAATTTTTTGTAGAGATGGGGCTCTCACTTTGTTGCCCAGGGTGGTCTTGAAGTCGTGGGCTCAGGCAATTCCCCTGCCTTGGCCTACTAAAGTGCTGGGATTACAGGCATGTGTCACAATGCTCACCAAATTTTTTTAATATTCATGAAGTCTAATTTATAGTTCTGTTTTCTTTTATGGATAACCATATAGGACTTGTCTAGGATATCTTTGTCTATCAGGAAGTCATGAAGACATTCTCTTATGCATTTCTTTAGAAGCTTTATGATTTTAGCTTTTATGTTTAGAACTTGATTGATTGATTTGTGTATTGCATGAGGTAGGAGTTGAGGATTATTTTGTTTTATGTAGATATCTAGCATTTCCAGCACCATTTATGGAAAAGACCTTTCCTTCCCCATTGGCTTGCTTTGGTAACTTTGACAAAAAGTCAAATAGTTGTATAAATGTAAGGCTATTTCTGGGCTTTCCTATTATGTTCTGTTTTGTTGTTGTTGTTGTTGTTTTGTAAGCTCTATGTTATTACCAGGTCGTCTTGG